CTCGGATGAGGGCTCTGTGTCGGAGGCAGAGAGGGGGTCAGGGCCGTATGCCAGTTATCAGCTGTCTTCAGAGTCAGTCAGCGGGGAGGCAGAAGAACAGCTGGAGCCTGTTCCCAGTGTGCGCATGCACAGAGTTGTCAGACGAAGGGAACAGCTAAAGAACAGGGGTCAACTTGGGAATAAGGCCACAGGGGGATGATGAATGGCCCCTCCCAGAGGAAATCAAAGAGGAGCGAAAGGGGATGGGAGTTTGCAGGAGACAATTAGTTTGCTTAATTGGTTCATAACTCTTCGAGACATGGGCCTGGCAGCTCTCCAAGACTGATAAAGGTCTGTGACTATAAATCTTTGAAAGACTTTGCTGGATTGAATGAGCTGAATTCACAGTCAATTAATAAAAGTAGTTTTTGTCGGGACCAGGAGTTTGCTTCATGCCCTTGGGCAGCCTAGGTCAGAACATGATGTTACCTAATTTGAGCAGCGAAATGCGTGCAAGGAAATAAGCTCAGAGAGCAGCAAGGAAATCGTGCCCATCAGATCTGCATTATGCAATATTGCAGATAGGTTGACAGGAAGAATCCAAAAGGTACCTTTGATTTCAGGAAACTGAAAACCTGGAACAGGCTCTCCAACAGCAGCGTGAACTCAACGAGGCCTTGCAGCAAGCCCAAGGCGAGATCAGTGCTTATGAGGCTGAGCTGGAAGCCGAGCTGAAGGCTCGAGACACTGAAGCCAGCCAGCAGAAGGAAGAGCTGGAGAAGTTAAAGCAGTTTATCCAGGTAGGCAAACATATATCGAAATAAAGGTCACCTTGTGGTCTGAAATGAAAGCTAGTATCTCTCCAGCTTTAGAATCATCACTGGGACCTCCCCAAGAAGTGACATTTTAAGATGTCAAATATGTTCTGGACAGATTTATTTCAATCAAGGCATTTTCAAATTCCAGCCTGATGGAGGTTGAGAAATGGGAACTTCATCTTCAGGGCCTTCAGAATAAAAATGTAAAATAATATTCAGTAGCTAAATTTGGGGGACAGGTTGCTTCAGTTTTCTTTGAAAGATTTGCTTTCTACCTCATTTTCTTTCTGATTGGGGGTTACAGGTGGAACAGTCTCAGCTTGGCAAGGAGAGGCAGGCCCTGGAGAATGCCTTGTCCAAAGCACAATTGTGTGAAGAGAGGGAACAGGAGAACAATCAGCTCCTCTCCCAGCTCAAACTGCTGCAGGTAGAGTATTTTTTTCTCCCAATTGTGTTCGTAGCTCTCCTTCAAAGAATTAATATTAGCCCGATGAATGTTCAGTGAAAACCAGTTGTGTGTCTGTCTTTTCTTGTCATTCAGGTCTGTTAAAAATTAACACAACCTTTATGCTAGAGAAATTATTATTGGTTGTAATAACAATGAAGCAGTTGAATGACAAAAAAAAAAGTTTGCAAATGTGCAGCCCTATTAATGTTCTGATGAGACATCTGTAGGTTTTATTCTACGACCAAAATGAAAATAAATAAATTCCAACTTTGTAATGGTGCATGGTGATCTTTCAAACCTCTCTCTATCTCTATCTATCTATCAGAAAGACAACCACCTCTTGAGGCAACAGCTGAAAAACACGCAGGAGCAACTGAATCACACAGCCGATAGCTTAATTCATCCCGAGGAAGTCTCAGCTCGTGTGAATGAACTCAAACAAAAGTTGCGGACTGGGGCCGAAATCAGGTGCGATAAAATCAGAAGAGTCCTAAGTTCATGGGTATCAGGCCTGCCCCAGTCTGATCCCTTAGGGAAGGAAAACCCTCAACTCCATGTAGTTGAAGTGAAAAGTATTTTTACTAAAAGATGCTTGTTGCAGTAAAGTCAGGCAGAATCTGATTTTCCCACACATCAGTACAAACTATTTCCTTCAGTCCCATCCCTTCCCTCGTGACCAGTCCAAATCCAGCCAATGCGATGCTGTCGGGGTGTTTTGGGAACACTAAGGTGTTTGGGCTTGTAATTTTCCACACTCAGGGCAAACGGCCTTGAAGATGCCTTGACACGAACTGGTTCCATGTTGATCTTTTTTTCT